CGCAGAGGGCAATTCCCGGGGTAGCTCACCGATGAGACTTTTAATTCGTTTGGCAAAAGTAGGAAGACTGAAGGAAAAGTGCTGATTCTAATGAACCCACAGGGTTTAATCATGGTTGGTTTGGGGTTTTTTTAGTGACAGCCATCTATGGGAAAACACTGATTAAGTCAGGGATGGCAAATATAGTTGCATGAAGGGGCTTGAAGAATAATTACCGATATGGAAGCATATATGTTTCGAAAACGGCAAAGTTGTTCAGACGACAATAATTCTCATCGACGATGTTACACGGACGTATTCTCCAATGAGGAAGAAAGGAACAAACCATGCAGTGGTAGCACGCGTAGGCGGTTGTAAATTATCCACTTTTTCACGCCAAAATAGTATTTCTATATGTCCATCTAGCAAAGGGACGTTACCTTAGCCCGAGGATGATTATACCCAATTTTAAATGTGATTTGGCCAGCTACTATGCCATCGGCCTTCACGTTTCCTTGAATCCTTTCCTCTCGGCTGCCATCACCTGAGTTGCATGAAATGCTCTTCCTAGGTTTTGAGCACTGAGTCTGTGAACCATATTTCGTTAAAATGGAAAATGAACTCTTTGGATAATCAGCGCAAAGTAAATTATGATAGCTGTTAGACTTCTGATACAGTACCTCAAAGGGATTAGTAAATTTGAGTGACGCCGTGGACATAGTATACTGAATTCCCCGCTGTTCGCTGAATTTCAGATTTTGTTTTGCCGAAGGACGCGTAACAGTCTCAGAATATAGGCGGGCTGAACACTGACTTATTGTTTCACAACCATGTTTACTTGCCAAGTCAGTTATCGGTGGTATACGGGGATTGAAGTTCATTCATAAAGGTGCATGAATTATTCATCAATAGTTCAATAACTATTCCAGTTCTTAACAAATCAGGAGGCATCAAGATCCTAGTTGAGTGAGTGTTTTTTAACGTATCCAGGATGAGTCAATTTGTTTGCTGCATCTTGTAGCCTGTAATTAGCAAGTGTACTAGGATCGACACAGTCGTCAGACAAAAGCCATCAGAATCAGGTGGTGTATTGGTGGTGAGTTGCTG